CTAGTCTTTGACATTTGTGCAGTAACTGACATTAGGGACCATGTCTACTTTCTTGAGGCTCTTTCCTGACCTGGTTTCCACAGTAACAGTCTGTTATGGTCCTTTCGCTCATGCAAAAAAAACCCTACTTGTATTTCAAACTTTGATGGCAAAATTATATAGTATTACTATAGGGTGTATAAGAGAATCTAAGGACAAGGAGCATGGCTGAGTTTCAGTAATACCTGGACCAGACATTGGAGAGTCTTCAGGATCAAGACTATCAGAGCCTGTCTGCCTGTCTCTCAGCTGCTCCACGCCCACAGGCACACTACAGTTCTCAGGTTTACAACTCCTCAGTTCCACTAAAACCAGAGATTATCTCTGAATCCCAATAAAAAATTCCTGCAAGAGAGAATACTGGTCCCAGTGTCCACCCAAATCTAACTGGCTGAGACAGGGAGGGAAAGATTGGGGGTGAGTTCTCAGAGAAAAGGGATGCTGTTGTGGGCTGTGCAGATATCACCAGAGTGATCAATAGCAGGTGTCTTCTCTATGAGGTGAAGTAAATTTGTCTGCTGTTATAATAGTAGTTAGTGGCAGGGACTGGACTAAAATCCAGGTAACCCATCTACTACTATTAGTACGACTACTGGTGCTCTTTCCAAGGCATCACATGATTTTACTCCTGGGAAGTAGACATATCTAACATAGGGAGAGAGGTTTCTAGAAGCCTGAGAGAGGGCTCTCCCCTTAGCTCCATCACAGGTCACTTGTCAGCCACAACTTCATTTAGATGACCACATGCAGAGAAGTCAATGCGGCAGATGGTCAAGATCTTGTAAGACACAATTTAATGAACCTGTACGTAAAGTGTCATGCAGCAGTACTTATTTACAGTCTGAAAACACCAACTGAAGGCCTTAATCATACAATGTGGATGCTGAATTAGCTAAAATAAACTCTGTACATACACAGGTAATATCATTTAACATTTATTGAGAGTAACTTGCACATGACCTCATGGCCTTACATAAAAACTCTCCCACAAGACATGGTATTGTCATCTGTGGCTGATCTTTCAGAAGGCCTGAAATGATCATAGTAATTCAGTGGCATGCAAGTCTCTCATCAAACTCCTACCCTTTTTAGAACTACCCAAATAATTAAACTCAACTAGATGACAAGTACTGAAAAACAGACAAAAAACAAAAAAATATCTGACTAAATCCAGGCTTGAGTAGTGCAGAAACTACTAAAATCCTTGCATTTGGTCTAGGGAAAAGAGCTAGAGGAGTGAGTTGCCCTTGATTCTGACAAGTGAACTTCAACCTTTGCATCTATTACCCCCACTTGCACCTTGCATTAGTTTCTTAGGGCTGCCATAACAAAGCACCACAAACTGAGTGGCTTAAAACAACAGACATTTATTCTCATATAGTTCTGGAGGGTGAAAGTCCAAAATCAAGATTTTGGCAGATCCATGCTCCCTCTGAAGACTCTAGGGGAGGATCCCACCTTGTCTTTTCCTAGCTTCTGGTGGTTGCTGGCAGTACTTGGTGTTCCTCAGCTTGTGGCACCATCACTCCAAGGTCTGCTTCTAACTAAAACCTCTGCCTTTGTCTTCTCACGGCTGCTGTCAGGGCTCAGAGCACAATACTCCTAAACATGCCACCTTGGCTTATTGAGTATTTTATGCTGAAAGAAACTGAGAAAACTGCAGAAGCAGAAAGACTCTTTGACCTTCCCTTGCCCCCTCTCTTTTGAAGACTTTCATGTGACAGGTGTCCTGCCTACATCTGGAGGGAAGGAATGCTACACAAAGAGAATGAGAAGAATCTAAATAAATAGGACTTGCTTAGAGCTCCCCAGTTTATTTCATTAGGACACACCCCCTTTCTGTCCAATCATGCTTCTACATGACTGTCCGTTCACCAAACCTAAGAATAATAATACAGTTTTCCTCTGGGTCTTTGAGTTTTCACTTCTGAAAACTCCCGTGTCATCTAAAACTTTGGTTAAATAAATTTGTATGCTTTTCTCTTGTTCACCTGTCTTTTGCTTTAAGGGGTCCCAGCCATGAATCTTGTGATGGGTAAGGATATTATATTACTTTTCTGCCCTATATTGTCTTCCCTCTGTGTCTGTGTCCAAATTTCCCTCTTGTGAGGTCACCAGTCACTGGTTTAGGGCCCACCTAATCCAGTATAATCTCATTTTTACTTGATTACTTCTGCAAAGACCTTATTTCCCAGCTAAGGTCACATTCACAGGTATAGGATGAGGGTTAGAGGTTAGGACTTTAACATATATTTTGGAGGGACACAATCCAACCCCTAACACACCTGTAAAACAAAGAATGTGCACACAATTATCTGAAAGACTTCCCTGAGCTCCAAAGTCCTAGGATCATTAATGTGTTTATTGAGTTTGGTCATGTTTATCAAATTTGATAGCTTTTGTTCTTAGCATAAGGACCATTAATCAGACCATTTCTAGCTCTGTGATGACCAGCTGGGGGACTGTGGGCAAGTCACCTATGTGCCCAGAGCTCTGATTCCTTCCTAGGATTGTGGTGATCACTAAAGGAGCTAATATGTGAACATGCCAGCATGGCTCAGGGCACTGAGCAGACATGTGTTCTGGGTGACCACTCCTCGTCCTGCCTTCCTTTCATAACCAGGAGGGAGGGGCACAGCCAGAGGGTACCCAGGGTCTCCCTATCAATGGCATCCAAGAGTGGAGAGAGGTGGGCAGTGGTTTCAATTAAAATTCACTGTTTCCCTCAGAACCAAAGAAAGTAATAAACCAATGCAATAAGCTATTGCTGTGGAAATAATGCCCAGATATAATAAATAAAAAAGAAACTTATAACCTTAATCAATCTTGTTTTTAATAAATAAATACAACTCCATCATCTGCTTTATTTACATGACTCTATCACCCTCCCAAATAATTCTCAGTAATTTCCAAGAGCAGCTACACCCACAGCTGAGCCCCGGGGGCGGGCTGGCTACCCAGGAACACCTCTCCTGCTGCCCCTGTCTTCTCAGTGGGTTAGCGGGACACAGAGTGGCATGGAAAACGAGCAACACCACAGCCTCACAGAATGACTGGCACTCTGTTACTCCACTCTGGGAAGTGCCTCTCAGCCACCTACATGCCCAGGGAAGGTCCCCAGCCAGGGCAGCAGCAGCATTTCTCTTATGCTGTTATCATTCAGCTTACACCTGCTCAGTCCTCTCTTCCTTCCACCAAAGCTCCCCTGTGTGTAATTCAGTTTTATAAAGAAGCACCTTGAAGTCTTTTTCCAAGTAACCATCGTGTTAACTTCAAAATTTGAATCTGTTTCTTAAAAATGGGGTAAAACACATGCTGTTACCTAACTAGCAGCCTTGTCCTTCAGAACTTGACTTAACTTGGGGGTCAAATTACTTCCTATTACCGATGGTGGCAGTAGTTCCACTTAGTTGAAGTTTTTACAATCCTATGACGTATCCAAAGACGGTGATCTGGGACACCAGCTGAAGTCCCCACAACTGTACCAGTTCCCTGGGCTTGTAGGTGAGGGCTGCAAACTTACCAGGGATGCCAACCACCTCAGAGAGCCTTAATCCACATGCATGACTGCACAATCCCCTGCTGAGGTCAAAAGGATTTTTCCCCCCTTTTCATCCACCTTTATTCCAGGGATGAAACAATCCACATATTTATCCATCAGAAGGCTGACATTAAGCAGAAACAGGATTTGAAGCTGCTTAAGCATTTCAAGGGAATAAACCCTGAAACTCTCAAAATAATCTCTTCAGGCTGTTTTCTGGAGAAGGCTGTTCAAAACAGACTCTGATAAGAATTTTGTTACCAGTCAAGTCCTCTTCAAATACTAAGAATTGAGAAAACGATAACTTCATCGACATTTATTCTGCTGAAGTTTTGTTATTGTTTTGTTGTCTTTCCTTCGAACAGATTTGATTTCAAGTATTCAGAGGGCCTTTAAAATACAAAGAATCTGGAGTCTGAGGGTAGTGAGTGGCAGCTTTGGACTTCTTCCCTTTTTAATTTTATTATGCATACATATACACACATGCATATATATATAATAAACACACTCTGAGGGTAGTGAGTGGCAGCTTTGGACTTCTTCCCTTTTTAATTTTATTATGCATACATACACACACATGCATATATATATAATAAACACACTTTTTTTTTTAGTTAATACTGTCACACCTCCGTAGCCAGCATTCATTTTTTCATGTTGTACAGGGTGTTTGCTCAGGGCCATAAGGAATGGGATCCTACGAAGGATTCCACATTAATTCAGTGGTTCTCAGTGGGTGCAATTTCTCCTCCAGGGGACATGTGACAATGTCTGGAGATACTTTGGTTGTTGCTAGTGGGGGGAGGGGTGTTACTGGCATCTAGTAGAGGCCAGGGATGCTGCTAAATATATTATAATGCACAGGACAGCTCCCCACAGCTAAGAACTATCCAATCCCAAAATGTCAACAGTATCGAGGTTGAGAAACTCTGAAATTGTTACTTATATTTACAACAAGCATCCAAACAAAACCTAGACACAGGAAGGCAGAGCCAGAGTCCACTCCAGGAGGGAGCATGCTGACTTGCTGGACAGCCCACCCTGACCAAGCCCTCTGCACACTCAGAACCCCCCGTCCCCACCCTCAGCCCACAATTGTGAGCTGATCAAATGGGGGAACTGCACTGCCTCCCCAGGGACACAGTGACAGTGCAGAAAAGTTCCCTTTGTCCTTGTTCATTTGGAGCACATTCACATGGATACAAAGGTCACTGCTGAATTTAAATAACCCCCTGTGATAAATCTGCATGAGCCCGATTTGTTCTACTGAACTTGTTGGATTAAATGAACACAATTTAATGTTCTATAGGACAAGGCCTCCTTTCATGGCTGAAAGAAGGAGCAAGGGTGATTTACAGTTTCATACATACTCATTCGCTACATTATCTGCTTTGTGCCTGAACTTATGAATATCAACTCATCATCCAGCGGTCATTTCTATCCACTCAGGAGAATTTAGTTTTCGAATAGGAAAGGGCCATGCTGTCCGGAAAGAATCAAGGAATAAGAGACTATAACAAAAGGTTTCTGCAAAGTTCACTTTAAGGAAAAAAGCAACAATATTTATACCTTGTTCCTCACCTTGTTTTTTTTTTTCTTTAATTCTCTATATTTATACATAAAGTAAGGTTTCCTTCTGTTTACCTGGAAAAGGTGGTTTTCTATGCAGATTACAGCTAGAGCTGTGTGTAAACATAAGGATTAGCTTACTTGAGATACCAAATTATTTTTGAACACCACTATGTTATGAGCTAACTCTTTTATAATGATATGCTAAAATTGAATATTTGTTTATTAAAGGAGATCTAAACTCCACTTAGTAAGACATTCTGCTTGAGTCCATATTTTTGGAAATAATACTCGTGTATCCAAGCATTGTATAACCCAGATTTTTAATTAACCGCAAGTCTTAGGAATTCGTGTGATGTTCTGCTCATGGACAAAGAAACAGGATTTTCATTTTTCTCCACTTAATAAAACAAGAAGTATAAACAAGGATATGAGAGTTGATTTTGGGAGTGGGTGGAGAGAATATTTTGAATTCATAGTCAACTCTCAAAACTCCGAGACTATAAGGCGAGAGAGTTGGGACAATTTATCAAGTTGTCTGCCTTGTCCTCAGGTCTATCTCCAGCACCTTGTTACCGCCCTCTTTTGTTTCCCTGAGGTAACTAAAGTCTAGAGGCTTGCTAACCAGGCTTTCCCAGGATCAACAGCAGCATCACCTGGGAACTTGTCCGAAATGCAAATTATCAGGCTCTACCCCAGGAATCTGTAGTAGCCTAAGGAGCTCACCAAGAGATTATCAGCAGGCTGAAGTGCGCTCTAGATTTCACTGTTACTGCTCTTAACACTTCCCTGCTATGTTTTATACCACACACCAAAAGACAAGCTGGAGTTCCTTTAAAAACCAAGGATACCCAATGTATTTTAACAAGCTACCCTCTCCCATTTTTATAAGGAAAAATGTCTACACCTAAAGAAATCAATAGTTAAATGCAGAATTTGAGGTACTCCTGCAGCAGAAACTTTCAAAGAGGATTTCTACTTCTCAAATCACCCGGGGTTGGGGAGCAGAGGAGGGCAGCTTGTCTACCCACACAGAAAGTGTGCTGTACTCAGTTTTATCCTAAGATGCTCACAGAACACAAAAGACTGAGCTCACCTCCACTCAAATACAGGTGGAAATGCCCGTGAACAGAGCATGGGTCAAAGGGAGACACAGCAACTTCAGAAGGAATTTGGAAAGTCCAAGGCCCTGGATAAAGAACCCTAGAAAGATCTGTATTAAGCAAGGATCCCCTTCATAGGCACAGACTCTGAATATGGCACATACTAATCCTGCTCCTACATTCAACGTAGGCAAAGGAAAGAGTAAAGGGCTCTCTCTCATGTATGTACTTCCCTGTAAAATGATTCTTTCAAGTAGTAGGCCTCTCAGAAGGAGGATTTTTTTTAAAAAAGCTCTTGAAAACCTAAACATTATCAAACTCAGAAACAAAAGAGATGTACACATTTGCTAGTTCTAATATCTTACAACACTCCAGACATTTACAGCTCTTTTAAAATTCCCTTTCTAATAATATCAAGCCTCTCAAACTAGCTCAAGTAGCAACGGATGAGCTTTCGAGGCCCCCTTAACTCACTTACATTCCCTGGGTAGCTGTCTGGCTTCTTTCTCTGCAGATCAACCCGTTCTTCAGGACCCACTTCAGGTCTGCAAAGCTCCCCCAGCTTTCCCACCCTGCTCTGACATGTTCACAGTGTATAGTCCACAGAGTTCAACTGTTCATTTCTTTGATATAAACTGCCTTATTTGGCTGCCTTAGGAGTATGTCATATGTGGGATGGTCCTATCTTTCCCATGGGACTGATTAACTTCCCCTGAGTGCAAAAACTGTCTTCTACTTCTGTTATGTCACCCATTCCACCAACACCCAGAGTCTAGATCAACAGCAATATATAATGAACTTTATAAAACCAAATTGAAGGTTCTGGGCTACATACCAACTAGAAAGGCAAGTGTCAGACTAGGGCTCACAGACCCTTCAAACCCATTGTACAGACTGGGTCACAGACCCCTCACATGCCTAGCTGCATCACCAGATACCTCACATGCAGGGTGCGAGCTAGATAATTGGGAAAGATCCCAGGAGCCATTGGAGGGTTGACAGGTTTATTCCAAAGCAAGCTCAGTCCTCAGCTTCCTCAGCAGTAGCAGCAGAAGCCAACAGCAGCAGCAGCAGCGGTGACTTCCCGGGGCATCCTAGGGGCACTGGCAGCAACAGCCAGCCTCCAGCAGCAGTAGCGGCTTCCCTGTGGCCCCCTCCCAGGACATACCAGGGGCAGGGGCACTAGATCAGAGCCACTTGTCCTTTATACTTAAGCCCGATAACCCAGGAACACCTGGGTGCAAGTCAGATAACCAAAGAACACCTGGGCACACATGGGCAATTACATCAGACAATAACCAAGGAACAGCTGGGCACACATGCATATTTACATCAAATGATCAGCAAGATTCTGAACATCTGAGGGACCCTGACCATTTACCTTCACTTATCCGACAGCAAGGTATGTCTGCCTTCCAATGATGCCTTCCTCAAAGACAGTGGAGTCCAAAAGAAGTATGCTTGGAGCTAAGCAAACTTTTTCCTAAAGGGGAATATGGGGTGATAGTAATAATAGTAATTCTGTTTACTGAGTGCGCTACTAAATGCTGGCATGCTGGCATGCTGGCCCTGTGCTAAGTGGTTTCCACACTGTAGACACGACTGAAATAAACATTTCAAAGCTCTAGAGGAATTTCTCACCCCTCTTCTCCAACTCAGCTCCAATGACCAATGAGTAGTCAGCTTGGATTTCCTTACAAGTGTTAGAAGAAAGCAAAGTTCCTGCTCACCAGAAGAGGCAACTGAACACCAGACTGTTGGTTTCTCCTCCTCAGAGCAGGGGATAGGCCTCCATTACTCCTAAAACATGCATAAACAAAGAGGCTGCATTTGATTGAATTCAACTGCTCAGCCTGGAATTAATCAAGGGTTCTCTGTACAGGCCAGAAAGACCTCACAGCATTACAGCCTTTGTTGTTCTTCTTAAGCCACAGGAATTACTGAAGAAAGTCCACAGACTACTGATTCTACATAATTCTAGGTCTGGTAGAAAAAAACACGAACAGTTCTTTGTGCAGAGAACAGAGTGTTCAATAACGAAATGTCTCTCCTTTTTTGGATCAAGGACATCTGTTATCTGCTACGATCTGTAGACCATAAGTATTGACATTATTTGAGTTTGCATTAATCATTTTAATCTTTATTTATTATGTAGCACATTGCAAGAACAAAACAAAACTAAAAATTTCAGCTCTACTGCAGAGAAAGAATTAAAAGGCCAGTTCACTAGAGTCAACATACAGTTGAAAAAACCCTAAAGCATAAATCTTTTCTAAATACACTGGTTTGCTACAACTCCTGCTTTATTACTGAAAAATGTTATATTGATGTAACTATTTCAGACAAAAAATTTTAGAGAGACAGGAAGACATGCCAAAAATTAAGGCTTCTATTAGAGAGTTCACTGAGCTGGCTGAAGGCTGCTCCCCAGGCAGCA